TGAATTTTATACTTTTCATTAGTATTATAAGAATTTTACTGCAAAAGTTAAGATCGCCCGATGTCGGAGGCAATGATCAGTCACAATACAAGTGAGTAATGTGTTTTAGAAACTTCATACAGTATATGAAAGTAATCTATTTAAAGATTTCCTCTGTTGGAGCAGACTGCCAGCAACCATCCAGTGTTGTGATGCTATGATAACTATTTGATACAATGGTACCCATTTTCAAACGGATGGATAGCTGGAGATAGAACCCTGATTCAGCAGAGCTTGTAAACACGTTGAAATCAACAATGTTTTGAGATTTAAGCATATGCTGAAAGTTAAGCATGGGTTTAAGTGTTTTGCTGAACAAAGGTCTTTAAAGTTAGTATTTATTATTGTTACTACTACTATTAATTATAATTTATTAGTGCCTATAGACTCCAATACAGAATCAGGACCCCATTGTGCTAAGCTCTATACACATAATAAAAAGACAGACCCTGCCCAAAAAAGCCCAGATCCCAATGTAGATGCTGATATTGGCACTTGAGAGCAAAAAATGGCATGTTGATGCCTAAGTCTAATTTGGGCACTGAAAACCCCAAGCCATCTAGTCACACACAGTAGGCCTTTTAATACGGCTCCTTGTTAATTACCTGTGCACTTCACCAAAACAAGCTGTTGCTGTACATATTTAAAAAGCGATAGAAACTTTTTGACAATACCAAAATGAAAAATACCCAATAAAACCTGTGTATTTTTTCTGTAACCAGTGTGACATGTTTGGCACCTTACTGTTGCATCACAATTCTTTTAAAAATATGGAAATATGGATTGTGGAAATTCTCCTGTAGTTTCCACAAGTCACTTAAGAATCCAGCCATATTCTACAAAAATTTTCAACAAACCTCCTAGGATCATCCCTTAAGTCACATCAGGGGATGGATGTGCACTTTTCACCTGATGTTGTTTGAACTGGCTTTAGTTTATTGGCACTATATACCACCTGTCCATTTAAGCCTCAAACTTGGTTTTACTTGCTCTGTACTGATTTCAATAGGATGTGACAGGTCTCACAAAAATAATGTAGTGAATAAGATATTGTAATGTCTAGGCTTTCTGTCTGGAGTATTAGGCTTGTGGTGTAGTGCTTATTTTTACACCCCTGACCCCAGGACAACCATACAATACAGCGGGGCACGAGGCAGAGGAGGGGCTTCAGGGTGTGTTAAAAGCTTCAGGACAGCAGCATAAACATGCTGCCACATCTGCGCTAGGTGTTCCATTGAAGTGACCTGCTTTTCCTCCCTGCTCCCATTGTAGCCCCTAATGCTTCAGGAGCAGCTCACTTATGGATCCACATATGTGATGATACCTTGCTTCCCTGTTTTGGTAATTGAGAGGTTAGGGATTGTGATGTCTCAAGACAAAGAAACCCACCAGTAGAGATTGCAGCAGGTTGGACTGGGGATACTTGAGCTCTCTGTGAAGGTGGCATGTTTGCTGTCTCAGCCAGTGGACCATGTTGTATAGCCCGCTCAATCCATGGACCACCCTACTTGAGATTTTAGGGTCTCCTATTTATCATTCAGAAAACTGACCAGACTGTGGGCAGGACATCTGTGCAGTCACCTCTTGTTGCAAGAGCTATTCTTTTTTTCCCCTCATCTTCATTTTTATACTTTTGTTCAGTCCCGTGTGCTCTGTTTTTCTCCAAGCATCCTCCATAGGGCATCTTAGTGTCTTACAGTGTAGGCTGCTTACTAGAAGCAGACTTGTTTTTCACTGTTCGTCAGTGTGAACTCTGCTCTTAGAGTCTGGTTGCCTGGTTTTTAATTTTGGTTTGGATGGTGTTTTGGTGTTCAGTAGACACCCATGAGAATGGTAGATCAAGCTCACTGAGAAATATTGCTTCTGCAGAGCAATTTAAAGGTCCAGAAGCCTCATTTACGTACATTCAAACGCAATTTCTAAAATGCAGAGGGGCATGAGGCTATTTTTGTATGGATGTTTCCTCCATTAAAATGTCAGTGTCATATAGAATTAGCTCAGCAGTCAGTTGAAAATTATTAAAGCAAAAATGCTAATGTGAAAGTTGAGAAACAATGAAAGTGGCTCATGAGATCACAAGGTACAGAGTTTGTGTAAATGATCTGGAATTTGATAACTTGTGTGGTTTGCAAAAGTCAGGATCATCATGGAGGCTTTGACCTTAAATGAACTGCAATTTTTGGTGTGGATATGGGGAGGTTTTTTTGTTAAATTAGGACTTGATTGTGCAACCCTCTTCCATACTGGTAAGCACTTACTAATATCCTTAGCTCCACTGATTTCAGTGGGGCTGCTCACCAACATGAGTGAGTGTTCCATAGTCGGGCCGTTAGTTCTGGAGACATATGACAAGATAAAGTCATTGCATGGCATATCATTATGCATTCTGGACAGAGTCACACCAGGCTCTGCCAGGAAAAGTAGATATTGCGTTACATTTTCAAAAGTGCCTAAGTGATACTGAAAGTCAGGGAGACTTGGACTCCTACAGACCAGATCCTCAAAGGTATTCAGGCTTCTAACTTCCACTGAAATTAGTGGGAGTTAGGAGTCTAAATATCTTTTGAGGATCTGGGCTTAAGTCACTTTTGAAAATGGGACTTCAGCTTTTAGATCATTTAGGCACTTTTGAAAAAGGTAATCTTCCTCTACAACATCAGTAGCATGCCTCCATCCATGGAATGAAATTCATCCCATTGTAGAAGGCCCTGCCAGGTCCTAAACTACTCATAATCCCTTAATGTAGGTCTTAAGTAGGGTGTAGGATCATGTGTATGCTTTCTGCCCTGAGGTTAATTTGATACCCACAAACAGAAATCAAAGATAAATTTTCATAGCATGCATATTATTTTAGGGAAAGAAGTCTTCACAATTATGGGAGATGGGTTAATGTAAGCTATATGGCCATAGATAATGAAAAATATTACTAATATTTATTAGAAATTTTAATCTAAATTCAGATATAATTGTAAAAATTGGGACCGCTGACTCTTAAGTGACTACAAGGAAACATGAAATTTAAAAAGTCATACAAGAGAACAGGTTAGACCATGGCTGACCAAGCCATGACCATTGGGTTTTACCCAGCCCGTCATTTTATATATATATATGGAGGTAAATGAAATTTGACTTCTATCCATTTGTCAAGATTCTTATTTCCTTTCTAACTCCCCCACAAGCCAAATAGAGGCAGATGTTGATTCACTAATTTGTTCTGATTATTTTGGTTTTATTATTCTTTATTTTTTTGCCCTTCCCACTTTCCACTTCACTCCTCTTCTGTTTTTCCTCTTCCCCACCTGCTCCCTTTCCCTCTTCTCTCTTTCATCTGCTTTACTGCTGGTTTGATTTTGGAGGTCAGAAAGCTATGCTGAAGACATGAGTTTTTCACTTTGCTCTGGAAGCAGTCAGATTTGTGAAAAGCAACAGAGAGTCCTGTGGCACCTTAAAGACTAACAGTTGTATTGGAGCATAAGCTTTCGTGGGTGAATGCCCACAGATTTGTGGTCATTCTCCTCTCCTCCAAAGCTTAGGACATTTTGCTGAGGAAGCCCTGTCTTCCACTGTCATTGTTTTCACCTTCAGGTCCAGACATATTGTGATTCCTGAGGAACTTTGCTGTCCAGAAGGTCACTGTCACTTAGACAGAGGCGGCCTCTGAGATATTTTGAGCATGATCCATGGAGGACTTTGAGGACTGGCACAGACACTTTCAAATAGAAGGTTTTTCAAATGCCTAGTCTCCTAAATAGACAGTTTGGGTTTACGATGGTTGCCTCAAGACAGCCTATCTGTATGATTGCTGAATCTAGTTATGGTCAAGACAGTGATGACTCACTGGACTCTCCATGTTAACTTTTTGCATTTTATCTAAGATCAGGCATCCATATAACATGTAAAGTTTATGTTATTAAAATAAAATGAGTGACAGCTAAAGGATAATTAGCTTCCTACCTTTTCAAGGATTTACTGTCAATTTGACAAAATCATGCTGCTTAACAAATTAAAGTTCTATCTCCAGATACTTATATAATTTTCTCTTGTACCTCAATAATTATTGTTACGTAACTGATGGAATTTTAATTAATGAAGGGTAAATGCTTCATACCATCAGTATAAATATGAGGTTTTAGGACTCTGGGATCAGTGTATAATTGCTCATGAAATCCCTTGGTTGAAGGATTGCTCTGGGATCACATTCTCTAGGCACTGTTTACACGTTGTACATTTTAAATGTATTTTAATTTTCAAATTAAAGAAAATGAAGATGGATGTATAACTCTCCAGTATTCCCTACTGTTTGGGTCAGTCCTTCAACTATGCTCTGACACTTCATACAATCTAAAAAGAGCCAGGTCAGCATAAGTCACTCTAAGAGCCTCTTGTCCAGCTGAGTGAAGATTGCCTGGATGAAGGCAGTGTGGAAGGCAGCCATAAGGCTGTTGTCCGAGGACCCCCTCACAAACCTGGACATAGAGGCCACATTGTGGACAAGAGGAGTATGTCAAGGATGGAGCTACAGCACGCCATGCTGTGGAGATTCTGGAGCCTGGTGCAGTCCGTAGGACAGCCCAAGGAGGCTCCTGAGTTTAGACAGCCCCCCCATGGCTGTCTGAGTTATGCCGGGGGCTTCTCTAGCCCTTGAAACAGCCCCAAAATCAGGAGGGTGCAAAGGTAGCTTAAAGCCACTATAGCTCTTTGAACCATAGCACAGAATCTCACCCAGTGACTATAAGGCCAGTGTGGGGCTTACTATAGCACAGATGTAAGAGAAAATATAGTTTTCAGTAGGTATGAATGGCCCTTATGAAGAATATTAATTTACAGATCATACTGTCTGCGGGCTTACGGGATTGATCTAAAAAAATTATAGTGCACTAAATACGTATGTTACTGAAACAAGACTTTACTGGGATACTCCATTAAGCTCCAATTCTTCTGCTCTGATTATTTAGGAGACTTGCAAAATCAACATTGCTGCTTATTCCGTTATTTGGAGTTCACTACATGGTGTTTGCTGTATTTCCTATACGCATTTCCAGTCACTATCAGATAATTTTTGAGTTATGTTTGGGATCTTTTCAGGTAAATTCTAAACCTTTACAAATTTTAAATCTTTTACTGATTGAGTTCAGAGCTGTGTACTAACTGATACACATTGTCTGTTTACAGGGGCTGGTTGTTGCAGTCCTGTACTGCTTTTTGAACAGTGAAGTAAGTTTCCCTTTTCTCCCCAGTGATATTGAATAATGTTTTCAATTTAGTAGCAATAAGTGTAGTAGCAGCCTTAGTATTCTAGTATATAAATCATAAACGGTATCAGTGGGTTATTATTGTACAAAATATGGTGATTTCTATATGAGAGGAGATTATATTAGATATAAAAAACACCATATTAAGGCATAATTGTGGGGGGAAGGGAGGTTAAACTCTGTCTGGGACCTCTGTCACCCTAACACCAGGAGGCGTTACTAAATTCTACCCTTACTGTTTATTAATCTAAGAAAATCCCAAAGGTGAAGTCCTGGCCCTATTGCAGTCAATAGGAGGTTGTTGTTTTTTATTGGATTTAGAGGGCCTAAGGTTTCATCACAAAACTTTCAAATGTTAATTTTGGAAAGTCTCTGGGACACACTTCAGCCTGCACAGTTGGGGCCAGGTTTTCAAAAATCCTCAGCACCCAACAGCTCCCATTGTTCTTGAAGTGCACCGGTGGTGCCGATGATTTACATTGTTCTCAATGGGAGCCGCGGGGTGCAGAATGCTTCTGAAAATCTGACCATTTCATTCAGGTGCCTACATAGGAGCCTGTGCTCTTTCAAAAATCTGAGAACTTGCTTAGGTCCCTAAATGGGAGCTTCTGGATGCTGAGCTCTTACTACAGTTTAGCCCTTATTGTACAACTTGGCACATCTAGGCCCTCCTTCACAGTGCTGTCATCCGACTTCAGATGATGACCAATAGACTCGAGGACATATCCCCTGAGTAAGAAGATGCCATTTTTGCACAGTCACTTTTCAGAGTAGAACCACGCTTTAAATAATATAGAGAATATCACAGACGGAGTGTGTGCAATTGCTAGAGTGAAGGATTAGGAGCCAGATCTCCTGAGTTTTCCTGGCTCTGACATTGATGTGCTGCATTTTCTTGGGCTAGTCACTGAATTATTTATGCCTTGGCTTACTCATCTGTAAAAACTTATCATAAATAGCTACCCACTATTCTTACAAACCCTTTTTGATTGTTCTCTTCTCATTCTTCAGACAAGTCAATACACTTTAAATTCTGGAGCTAGGAAACATATTAGTCAACTGCTCTTGGTAATAACAGAGTTCTGAGTTGTTGTTATTATTAATAATAATAGTTAGCCCCTGCCACCTGAGGATTTTGGAGCTAAACTTTACATCCTAGGGAGGTAGTTGTGGTAAATATTATACCCAGGTTAAAGTTGGGGAGATAAAGAGATGTTATGTGACTTTCTTTGGATCACACAATGAGTCCATAGCAAAGCTAGACTTAGACTCCAGGTTCTCATGCCCGTGCTTTAATCTCAAGATTGTGCTGCCTATCTGAATTTAGAAGAGTTGTGTTTACTTTTATTTTTCTTCCTACTTCTCAGGAGGCCAAAGGGTTATGGCGCATTTTCAGGTCCTGGGATGGAAGGCACTATATGAGTTCAAAGTATTATTAATAACTCTTCTGAGACTCTTTTACTCAATTTTGTTTTCAAGTAAAATAGAGATTTTAGTAGTTTGCATGTGACACTAATGAAAGCACAAATGTTTCCCATGTAAAGTGCGTTTTTAGCTCACATGCATTTTTTAAATATAGGTCCAAGGTGAGTTGAAAAGGAAATGGCGGAGTTTGTGTTTGAGCCAGACAGTGGGCCGCGACTACAGACTCCATAGCTGTTCTGTTTCTCGAAATGGCTCAGAAAGTGTCTCCCAGCTCCATCGGAATTCAGAGGCGCAGTCTTCTATGCAGACGGAGACCACAGTGATATAAACCATGTAGCTCAAACTAAAGACTATGGGACATATCACTATATGGAGCTCCATGTAATATTTTCTAAAATGAACCATTTATGCTTTGCTTTTCTACATATTGACGTCTGGAGAATGGCCTGGTGCAGTAAATCAGGTAACAGATGGGCAGGCAGCTTTGCAGACATTTTGGCTTAGCTCTCCAAAGGCATTTAGCTGCCTAACCCCCATTGATTTGAAAGCAGTAGTAGTTAGGCCCGAAATACCTTTGGAGATCTGAGCCTTTGTGATTTTATTTAGTCCTATTCACATTACATTCTGATGTTCTCCTGTCATTTGTACTAGAAGTAACTATTCTAAATATAATTTATTTTAATGCTCTATTTCTATTTATATATCTCTCTAATATGTAATGTATGCTGAATCCCACTCAATGTATGTTGTTTTGGTCCATGTTTAAGGAAGTAGGGTGGGAGGTGAGAGAGAATATCGTATATACCATCTATACTTAATAGAATGTTTCTTTCACACAGACGCTAGACCCTACTATAGCAAACAAAATTGAAATAGAGATATTTAGGGCCATATGTTTGTTCTTGATCCCCATATGGAAATCCAGTTGATGGCGGTGGGAATTTAGCATACAGATGAAGGGCATTATGAGTCCATATTTTGCACAGAAGAAAATGTTAGTCCTTCTTAGCTCCTTACATAAATCCTATTTCAATTCAGAGCTACCTCACTGCAATATTTGATCCTAAGGGCTTGATCCTGCTTTCCTGCACGAGTGCCCACTTCTACATATCTTAATGCAGAATGTGGGGCTAGCCCTGCAGTCCTTACAGGAAAGCCCATTGCACAGTAGTGGTCATCATTAAACAGTCAGCATTTGCCAATAGTGGTATCTGAGATTACTAGAGTTTTACCCCATACTAAAAATCAAAGATATCTCTGGTAACTGTGTGGTAACATTTGGCAAATGTTAATGTTTTTAATGACTTTTACTCCATCTGATTTTTTTCTACCTAGCTGACAGTCAGGAGCGCCGCCAGCTTTTTTGCCGCCCTAGGCGGTGGAAGGTCCCGCCCCCGAAATACCGCCCCCAACAGAGGCGGCGGAAGGTCCCGCCCCCGAAATACCATCAACGACCGGGGCGGCCGAAGATCCGGCCGCCGCAGTCGCCGCCCCCCAAATGTTAGCGTCCTAGGCGATTGCCTAGGTCGCCTAATGGGTTGCGCCGGCCCTGCTGACAGTACATGTATGTGTTTCAGAAAGGCAGGACTGAACCTTAATACCCTAGCCATCGGGTTCTATGAGTGGTATCCTCTTTGCTTTGCTTCAAAAGAAAAAAATATTTTGGTTACATTTATGATAGATGTCCATCATATAAGATAAACGGACAGAAAGGAACCCACACTGACATTAGAAAAGAGTTAGGAACACACAGAAGACAAACTGGGCGCCTCAATCTCTTATTATCTAACTTTCTAAAGAGGTATTTTCCTAATAGAACAGCCTAGTGAAGGCTAAACAGGAATGGACATCCCACTCACCCACTGAAAACATGTTTTTATACATAATGATTTTATTAAAATATATCTTTAGAACTTCACATTTGGCAGCTAAAATTAAGTGTATCAAATTATAAATACTACTGGAGTTCAATGAACTATGTAAATACTTTCAACATAATGCCATTTTGTATCTGAGAGGTGATTGAAAATGCAATCCTGACCAGCAAGGCCAAAAAAAAAACCAGACACAATCCCTTTCAAATGACCATAAAAGGCATAAATTGAAAGCATTTTTGGTAACCTCAAGCCCCTTATGTAGCCACAGTGAAATGAAAGACACGGCGCTGACAAGTGCTTAAAAATACACACACAACTTCTGCAATCTTACAAGACATAAGCACTGTTATGTTTACCTCTCATGTCACAACTGACCATTTCCTCTCTAAATAACAAGTGTGAATACTATGCATTTGCATGAGTATTTTGCCTCATAAACTGAAGTGTTACCACAATATTTCAAACAGGAAATTGTACATTACGTGACAGTTGTCATGATTTAAATAATAATCACTTAATTCATATCTTCTAATTAGTATTACCAATAAACACCCTGTATTGTAGTTCATTTTAAATAACAATAAGTAATAGAAATAAGATTGTTTTGTGTAACAATCTATTTATTGCCATATTCACAAACAATAGCCTTGGTTCAAAAGGTAAATAGTTACTGTTGCACAACTGAGGCCTTTCCTGTCTTATAAAAATAATCTGACAATCAAGGGACTTTCATACCAGCCTTTTCTACCTTAAACCACTCAGAATATTTTGTAGAGACAGTCACTTGTCAAGCTAACTTAAAAAGTTAAAAAGATTTGACTGTTCAGTGATACTTGTGTGTTAACATTGGTCAAAATATTCAGATATTTGGAACAAATTGATAAACTAAACAGTAATAAATCACCAGACTCAAATGTGAAATTGTAGGACTACTAACTGTAGTCTGTAACCTATCATTTAAATCAGTTTCTGTACCAAATGACTGGAGGATAGCTAACGTGATGCCAATTTTTTCAAAGGGCTCCAGAGGTGACCCCGGCAATTACAGGCCGGTAAGCCTGACTTCGGTACCGAGCAAAGTGGTTGAAACTATAGTAAAGAACAGAATTCTCAGACACATAGATTAACATAATTTGTTGGGGAATAGTCAACATGGTTTTTGTAAAGGGAAATCATACCTCACCAATCTACTAGAATTCTTTGAGTGGGTCAACAAGCATGTGGGCAAGGGGGATCCAGTGGATATAGTGTATTTAGATTTTCAGAAAGCCTTTTGCAAGGTCCCTCACCAAAGGCTCTTAGGTTATCATTCCATAGTCTTAGACTACAACCCTGTATCTGCAGTGATGCAGCAAGCTGTGTCATTTACCAACAAAAGACTACTTTTAAATTACCACCTGTGCCTATATACACCTTGATAATCTCTGGGTAGTGAATACTGCACTGCCATTACCAAACTGCATGATTTAGTACACTGTGCTATTTTTGTGATTTAAAAAAAACATCAAGATAAACACTTTTTCTGACAAGTATGTTATGAGAACTACATCACCATAACATTAAACACAGAGAATTCCAGAGTCTGCTTTAATAAGCCAGTATAAAAATGTATTTTGCCAGTGATACATCTTATAATAAAGTGTAATTAAACATAATCCAGGTACATCTACTTTGTAAGCTACTTTATACTAGGCTGCTATGTATAAAACTGCTTTATTTCCGTATATACTGTAATAAGATTATTTACATCCTGCAACTTTTTTCTAGTGCATTCACATAAGAAACTGTTTAACACATTCTCTTTGGTCCTCTGTATTGATAATGATTTTTATGTGTCAAGTACAGTAAACCTTAAACATGATGTAAATGAATGGTATTTTTTACAAAATGTACAGCTTATGATGATGTATAGATAAATGTGTGTAAATAGATTCGCTTTTCATACTTGTAATACAGATCTGTGGTCTCTGTTATCCTACTGATTTATAACGTCATAATGCTAACAGATTTCTCTGTGGTTTACACCACGCAGTGGCTGTGAAAAAGCAGATGTTCACATGCTTTATTCTAACAACAGTAATGCAGTTTACTCGGTTTTGTAGCACACTTTAGCCATAATAGACTGAAAATAGTGTCAGAAAATAGTATTTGTGGATGGTTTGGTTCAACACCTGCCCTGCTTAAACCTCCCAACTGGTCACGTGATCCATATGCTCATTGCTATGTCAGGCCAGAGATATTCCAAGAGATGTGTCTATAGTTAATGCTTTGCTTTTTAGTAAACAACTTTAATCCTTGCATGTAAAAAAGTAACCCTGAGATTTTTCTTTGAGAAGTAAGTAATCTTTATTCAACTCTAGTGAATTTGTGTTGTTATAAAAATATTCTCTCAGTTGCATGCAGACACCACATATACACGATTGATCCAAATGATTCAGTATTTTCCCTGTGTCAGGGCATGCATTTTGATCTCTGTTTCTCAGTCTTTGCCTCTCTTGTTTAATACATTTGCCCAGATATTCCCAGTGTCTGTGATATAGCAGAGCTACAACAGATGAAAGCTATGACCTAATTTACAGGAGTGGGCCCACACATTCTAATCAAAGATCTTGCGTATCTCCCTAGGATAAGGGAGCCAGCTAGCTCTACTTGTGTCTTGATTAACTTGACAAGTTCATTGTGTCTAGGAGCCAGTTTACCAAAACAAAGGAGCATAGCTTTTTTTTAAATTTCATCCACCCTTGAGTTTAAGTTGCAGGCATTCTTTCCATCCATAATGCAATGCTTTTATGTGCTAATACAGGGCCTGATTCTACCAGTATTATTCACTGTGAGTACTAACTATCGGTCATTCATTCCTATTTCTGTGGTCCCCGTTACCATAGAATCTGTGTACCTCACGGTCTGGATTGTACAGCACCTCTGCAAGCAGGGGCAGCTCTATGTATTTTGCCGCCCCAAGCATGGCAGTCAGGCGGCTTTTGGCGGCACAATGCGGGCGGTCCACTGGTAACGCAGATTTGCGGCATGCCTGCGGGAGGTCTGCTGGTCCCGCGGCTTCGGCGTATCCGCTGCCGAATTGCTGCAGAAGCCGCAGGACTGGCGGACCTCCCGCAGGCATGCCGCCGAAGGCTCCCTGACTGCCGCCCCCACAGTGACCGGCAGGCCGCCCCCCGTGGCTTGCCACCCGAGGCATGCGCTTGGTGCACTGGTGCCTGGAGCCGCCCCTGTCTGCAAGATAGGGACATAATATCCCCATTTTACAAAGGGGGATCTGAGGGACACAGGAGACAAAATGACTCATCCAGGGTCTCTCAGAAATTTTGTGGGGGAACGTGAAATTGAACCTCAGGTTTCCCAAGTCCTAAACTGGGGCCCTAACCCTTCTGCAACTAGTCCTTTGGAAGTCAATGGCCAGTATCATCCCCACTAGATCTGTTCACAGACAGGACCTTCCATATGCGGATGTCCAGTGGAAGCTGGGAGGCAGGCACCTCTGTTGCACACTCTCTCTTCCACAGAGGGCCCACCATGCATCCACACTGGACACATTTCTGAGTGTGATTGTATGATGAAGTTGCTTGAGATGGGAGGGGGCATGGTTCAACAGCCCTGGGGCTCACTTCTGGTTTATGCCTTTGGTTCCTAAAAGCTCATGCTTCAGGGCTTCAGCTGGCCACCTGCAGGGAGCAGGAAGGGATTCCCTCCACCCCCAATATATTCTGGAGTTTGAGACTTTTTTTTTTATCTCCTTCCTCTGAAGCATTGGGGATGGCCATGGCTGGAGATGGGATGTGGGCCAGGGCTCTGAGGTGGCACCGAGCATTCTCTTTCTCTCAGGTGCTTGGCTGGTGGCTCTTGCTCGCATGCTCAGGGTCGAACTGATCCCCATATGTGGGGTCAGGAAGCAGTTTTCCCCCTAGTTCAGACTGGCAGTGACCTTAGAGTTTTTCACCTTCCCCTGCATCATGTGGGTGTGGGTCACGTGCCAGGATTATCTGGGTATATTTCACTTAATCATTTTCTTGCCATTGCGGGAGCCTCAGGCACTGGTGCATCTCTGTCCTTCCTAGTCTCTGCTTTGGCACATAATAGTCTAATTTCCTGTGGGCTGTGGTCTAATTTTGGTGGTTGGGTTTAAGGTGCAGGTGTTTGTGGCCTGTGATATACAGGATGTCAGACTAGATGGTGGGCCCTTCTAGCCTTAAATGTTGTGATTTGTGTGGCCCCATGCTGAAGTATAGTTAAATCAATGTTGCCCATTGTTAGGAGACATACAAGAATTATCTTGGGGCAGGGATTGACCAGTTTCTTGGCCAGCATTAAGGTCCCCGTGTCCCATGAAGCTTCATTCCCTATGGCACTCCCACTGCGAGGGATCCACACTCGCAGCATTTACTAATTTTGGCCCTCCTCTTCTTTCAGTCGCGGATGCCGCTCCCATTTCACCTCCCAGCAACAGTTGGGTGC